GCAGTATAAGAAGTATTTCGGGGACCAACAGTCTTCTCAGAATCATAACAGAGGTTGGTCACTCGAAGAAAGACATATTTTTTATTGGATAAGATAGTTTGCTAATACTAAAATGATAATAAATTGTATCTGCAGATGTTAAGCAGGAATTCAGCAATGACTTTGATCTGCGAAAGACCCTTGAAAGACAGCATGTCCAGTATATTGAAAGCATGAGTATTCAAGATATTCCACATCTAACCATACTCCGTGATCGATGTTCAAACTTTTTATCTGGACTTCCACGGTATGACCCATTCTTCCAGTTCATATACCACATATAGAAATAAGAATTTTATACATGAATGTGCTGTTGGTGATGTTACACTTTCTAGTCATGATTAGATGAATATCAGTTGCCTGTTCTCATGGTAGATCTCTTTTGCGCTCAACAGCAATCTTTTTCTTGTCTGATGACACATCCGACAGATCAAAATTTATCATTTTATTTGGATCATTCCTGTTAAATGAAAACAATGTTTACTTTTCTATGATGGTAATGAAGAAAATAAAGACTTTGAAACAGATTCCCACTTGTTCATACATGCTTTTCTTGAGATTCTCCATCTTAGAGGTGTTACTTCTTTTGCTTCTTGGCGTGGGCTAAACAAGTTAATCATCAGTTTCCCTACTGAAGTGATGTTTCATGTCAAATAAGATAAACCAGGTGATGCTTTATGTATGTTTTAGTAGACAATTAATCCAAGTTTAATTATGGATGCTAGTGATAAAAGTTAAATTTTTGACAACTAGAACCAATTCCAATATTTGGCTTAAAAGGTTTTGTGATCCACTCTTTTGAAAGGAATTAACAATTAAGTGCTCATTGAGAAAATAGTATTATGGTAATCAATGTTTTGTTAAATTACTATCGATGGATAACAAGTGCCTAGAATATGCATGAATAATGAAAGATTGAATGATAATTTTAGAGTAACAAATTATGACTATTAATTGTTCCCAGAAAGGCAATTTAACTTTAAGTTGATGCATGCCTAGATGTCAGGCTCATTAAGTTACTTCTTGAACCAAAAGCATAATGACAAATTTCTATGCCTTCCATACTTGCCCTGCTGGCTGGAAATAGGGACTACTGTTTTCATTGATTTGACAATTCATTTGTTTTGCATCTAGGTCTGATGGTGGCAACTTAAGTGCTGGTCGTATTGCTATTCAGTCATTGTGTGCTCCACAATGTGGTTACGCTGAAATGGTGTGCATAATTGCTTACGCTGAACCAAAAGATTCAATTTCCGGTTACTTTGTAGAATATAAGTATCATTTTGTCCTTTTGATACTTTTTTCCAAACTAATTTGTCTTTTAGATGTGTTAGTTTGACAAAAAAATGTATTTTTTTTCTAATTATATTGACATGCAATTGTAGGACTGGGACTTGGTTGCCTTTATCAGGTTTCTGAGATCAATTATTCGTTCTTCAAATGTGGTTGCTGTGGTAACGTTTCCCACTTCATTTCTTTTGCCCGCATTTCTGAAGAGATGGCAGCACCTGGCAGATACATTGTTGTCTGTCAGAGCAATTCCAGGCATGTTTAAGTGCTTCGCTTTTTTGATGCCCTCAATTGTTTGGATCGCCTGCTCTTATTTCCAATCTTTTTCCCTTTTGCACATCAGATGAAGATAAGGATATGGCTAAACTCCTTACAGGATACCAAGATATGTTAGGGCTTTTACATGTGCACAAGGTTGCTCAGAACAATAGCCAGGTAAAAGAAAATTGCATGCTCTTTTTTCCTATCAGTGTCTGTATTTTAGTTTGTGGCTGACTAATGAACTCCACCAGATTCTGACAAGAAAATGGAGCCTTAAGTTGCTTATATTCTCTTTTCATTATTTGAAGTGCTGTTCCCGTGTTGTTATAATTAGATAGAAATCTGTAACTTGTGGCACATGGCTCCTCTCCTCTTTTTTATTCTTTTTTTCTGTAGGATAAAAACTTTGCAAAAGAAAATTGTCTTTGACTGCTTGACTGAAGCTAAGGAAAAACTGGATTTTATTTTTCTTTGAAGCATCGTGAAAGTTAAGGACTTTTAAATGGAGGTGTCCTAGGGACTATTTGCTGGCCAACAACTCTTAGGACATATTCACATATTTTTACAGGGACGTAATTTACATCTGTTTAACATTACAAGCACTATTAGTTAAAAATTTTGACCCTTTTTCAGTGATATTACCCTCTGAGATATTCACAGAATTGGCCATTTTCTGAGACAGAGTTTGACTTATGCATCATCAGTAACTTCTTACATTGTTGGAACTTGAATAAACTAGATTAGTTTAGCTAAACCAAACACTGGTCCTGAAACTTCTACTTACCTCAGATGCTTACTTGAGATATTCATTCTGGACTTAAGATTGATCTGTATTGGTTACTGGGATACTCAGGTTGCAGTGAGAAATTTTAGTTGCTCCCGGTAGTGGGGTAGAATGGAAGGCTTAAAGGCCTTGAGGAGCACAGGTAGTGAGATGGAACGGAAGGAGGTTAGAAAGAGGGAGAAAAAAGGAAAAAATATTTTTTATAAACTGGAAAGTCTTCGAAGACTCATCAACAAATATTGGAATATCTCAAGTAACGAGACATTTAGGTGGAGAGTATTAACAATAGATAGTGGTTGAGTGGAAGTGATGCTGAGACAATATAAGTGTAGCCAAGATGGGGAGAGTGGATGTCCATGCAGGAGGAGGTAGTGGCAAGGTGGAGAGTGTAAGTCAGCACAGTCAGGGGATGCACATATGGTCGGAAATGGATTAAATCATTGAGATTTCAGACTAAATTACCAGGGATAGTGGCTTCTGCCAACAGAAAACTACTAAGGGTTGCATGCTGACCATATTTGACATTGTAGCCTTCAGCTGATTCAGCTTCAGCTTATACAAGGTCAGATAGAGCTGTATCAGTTTTTATATAACTGTTCCTTCTGATCCTAGCAAATGCCTGTGAAAACCAATTTGCAATATCCATTTCATTCAGACCCTTTAACATGACACTTTAAAAATCTGCCGGCACTTGGCTGCATCTTCTCCCCTGTCCCATCTTTTACATTATACATTTCATGATTCTAGTTGTATACCCATATAATCACATTAGGACTCCCATGCAGGTAGCTCATATCCCCATTATTTTCTCCCTTATGACACTTGTATTGTGTGCATCACATCAGTTTTTTACATTTGTGCGCTAGCTCTGGATAGTTCATGATGAATGGTATTAGTGTTACATGTTCTAATTTTGAACAATTCATTCCTAGTAGTTCCACTGTGTTATGCATATTATTGTTTTCTTTCTTTTAAACTAAACCTCCACCTGCTGTGTAATTTAAGGGTCATGTTCATTAAAGTTACTACTTTGTTCTAATTTCCATGGTCAACTTTTGTGTTGGTTATGTTCCCTCGAGTCATTATTTTGTTATTATTTTTGTTATTATTTCTTTGTAATATATGCCTAGAGGGATTTGAATGCCTTTGATCTTATGTTGCAACCACTAAAATGCACCTCCAGTGCCAACCAAACTGATAGGTATTAAGGGAAGTTCTTTTGTAAAAGTTTTGTTAATTCCTATCTGGAGCTTTATCCAGCATGAGTTCTGCTTCAAGGTCAATCTAACATTGATCATTTTTTTTGTTACATCCTGGTAATCGGTGTAATCGGGTTTGACTTAGAACATCATTAGCATCAGCATGTGGTAGTGAGATTTGCTAACTTTTCTTCTGTCACACTTCTAAAACAAATATTCAAGTGATGAATTTGTTTATTCATCTTTTCTTCCAACTTTTTTTTTATATGCAAACAGGTTCCAACGGTACTAGAGGCATCTACATTCTCATTAAAGCTTCAGAAGCGGAGATCTCTGGTCTTAGAACGTCTAAATCAAGCTCCTGTAGAGGCTTCAAGCGGCACTTCATATTCAACATCTGGCACTTGTTCTGGGCCATCAAAAGGTTCATCTCTTGATTTCTAGTAAGTCTTTAACTTGAAAACATGATGGATGATGGATTTCCACAATCGACCCATCTCCGATTTCCAAAGCTGTTGGTCTCACAAGGCTTCTTCATGAGTTGCAATCATAGTTTGCATGCAATGGAGTTGGGCACCAAGATTTTCCCTCCCTTGTTCATTGTTAGTTTAAGCATCTGTGCAGCATGACGGATCTGATGGGTCTCCCAACAAACAATTTAAACGTAGAAGACAGACAGTAGAGGGGTCCTCCGTGTTCTCCAATATAAATTTTTGTACTTAAAAATACTTCCTTGTGTGCACATTTTAGCATGGTTGATTTAGGTTATCACTGTTCATTATGGCTGGAATAGCCAGTTTTTTTTGTCTTTATTTACCATTAGAAGATGTTCTGATTATTGCTGACTTTAGATGTCCGATGAACTTTGTGGATGATCCTTAAACACACCATCTCGTTCTTTTTTTTCTTCAGCCTCTTTTGATTCAATTAGCTTTCAATAAAAGGTGGGTATTTCTGGGAGACGACAACAAATTTTCTCTGGTCAAATCTTAATTCTTGTACATGTAGTGTTTGATTCCTTAGAAAATACTTTCAAGAATCTAAAAATACTTGTCAGCAGTAAATTATTGTAAAGAAAACAACATTGTTTGCGAACTTCTGTGATCTATATGAAGAAAACAAGATGTTATATAAGGGAAGGCATCAAGAAGCCACTCTTGAAGTTAAGTTTTGATTGTAATAGAAATGTGCTTATGGTTTGGTACATTTCAATTTCATTATAACTTCTTATCTTAAATTTATATAATATACATAATAGTTATGCATTATAATAAACTATAAAAAATTAAAAAAAAATTTAAAACGATTATATTGTATATTACATATAAGTTTGATTTAAACTTATAAGTCAAAATTCATATTATAATTAAATTATAAGTTCAAATAAATAAAAAGGACAACTTATACATCGCATAATTATATAAAATATTTAAGTAGAGGAAGCCGTCTCCCCTTCGTCCGCTAGGGTTCCGAAGCCACGTGCGGAGAGGCTCCCCGAGTTCGCTGGATTCCGGAGAGTCGAACGCGTGGTGCTACCGGCGGAGGGCAGCAACGGTGGGGAAGGTAAGCCGCCTTCCTCTTCTTTACCCTTCCTCCGGGGATCACCTGTCGGCTGGCAGGATTCTTGCGGAAATCGGTTGAAATTGCCCGATGTTTCTCAAGAATTACCACTGGTTTCGCGACGATTCCTGGCATATACGCAATATCTTGGGCAATATGGGACCGTCCTCGGCCTTGTTCGAAAATGTTTTCGACTCTTACTATATGTAAATGCTACTCTTGCTCCTGGTACCAGCGTCGCGGGGTTACTCGATCTCCCCGGTGGCACAATGGAGGCGTCGGACGTGAAGGGGATCGAAGAGAGAGACACGCTGATGGAGGATGGAGCTCAAAAATCCTCGGAAATGGTCTCAGGTGAGTTTTGATCCCTCCCATGAAGCTCTTTTACTTTCAAGATTCTGACGAAAATGCGTGCAAGAACCATAACCAAATCAGTGTACGCTCTACAATGGAGCATGCTTGTTCATTGAAGTAGAGAGTTACGATGGCGCTCTACTGTAGTTCCTCTTTCACCGGGGTCATAATGGGACACACGGCAACCAGGTGGAATCAGGAAAGAAACAAGAGATAAAACTTAGGGAGTGGTTGTTGCTCAGTTTCCTCTGTGGCACTCCTCTCGATTCACATAGAAGATGAATTCTTGAATGCGCTCCATAAAGTGATCGTTCTCATTTTCTTTTTTATTTTTCCTGCATGATGAGTTGACTTTTAGGTTTCACTTTTGCAGTGTGGCTTTTGAAATTACGAAGATCATTTTGATTTGACACATTTAATTGCAGTTTTTGGTGATGTATGTATACTGAGGTTCCAGTGCTTGCTTTTTCTTGGTTTGATGTTTATTGTTTTCGTGCGATTAGGGTATTGTCATGAAGTAGGGATGTAGGTCTACTTTAAAGTATTGAACGGTTGGACAATCTAAATTATTGTAATTTTAAAGAGGTTATTGAAGAATGAAATTTTTTAGATGGTTGGTGATTTTCGTTCTTTGTTGTCTAATTCTTAAAAAAAAATGGAAAGTTCAAAAATTCAATGCATTATCTAGATGTATTCAATTGTGGAATTTTGTGTGAAATAAATTGGATCATGATTTTAAGAGTATTTTAATGACGTAATATTTCAACATGCAGTTGGTTATGATTGGAATAATTTTCAAGCTTTGCTAGGTGACATCCCAAATGATTTTGAATCTTGGACTTCACTTATAGCACATATTGAGAAGGCTTACCCTGTAAGTGATATTCATCTTGCTTTATTTTCTTGTATGTGGATTTGATTTCTTGAATTATTTTGCCTGTTTATGCTTAGGGAAATGTAATGATATGTAAGTATATATGATTCTGTATTCAGTGTTTGAAACTTATATCATCATTTGAAGTTTCATGAGCAACTCATAACAGAGATTTCTTGCTAAAAGAATTGGCTGAATCATTTATAGAAAACAGAGCTTTTAGTTTCATTTAGAGTTTTTTGAAGTTCAATATGTTAACAGCCTCCACCACTATCTGCCACAACAAATTTATACATGATTATTTTTTATTTTGATAACAATTATCATCTATTGCTTTAATATCGTGACCAGTGTCTCATATTGTGCCCTCATTGAATGACATGGATACCAGTTGGTGGATCTACTGATATAGCATTGTGATTAGGATTATTATGGAAAATTTTGCAATTCATAACAATGGAGGTGGTATATCCAGGCAATTCATTAAGACTCATGATTCTTAAGGATTCATATGTAATCTTGTTTAGATGATATTACTGTTGAGCTCTTTTATATACGTGGAACAACAAATATTGCTTATGTTACCTTTTATATGACAAACAGATATCCAGAACTCACATTCCCAAGATTCCACATATGTCAATGTTAGTTGATTGCTGTTTTATTTTCATTTACTGGCTAAGGCTTGAAGTTGGGAAGTGCAATTAGTATCATACACTTCTAGTTGGTTAACAAACTCATAATCTTAATGTGTCGGCAATCTCAACCTGTATGGTAGAAGACACAAATGAGGAACTATAAACAATCAATATTGACAAAACAACAAGTACACTAAAAAATTATTATTAACTTTGAATGTAAGAAAAATACAATACTGAACTGTAATGCATTACATGCTTCTGTCAAATACTTGCATTTTAATGTGATGTTGATGCTTGCTATAACATGCACAGAAAATAAAAATAAGTCAGGTAATAGTGAACTGGATAAAAACAATAACAGCATATAGTGGGAACTACTATGTAATTGCTAAAATCATGACTAACATTTTCCCATTCATCTTTGCACTTCTCTTTCCTTATTTATGAACCTTCCAAAATTATTTGTGGTATTTCTAGGAGGATCTCCAATGAACTCTTTTGTTGCTCAAAGAACTATGATGCACCCAATGAAAAGACCAATTTTTTTTTTCCTAGATCTGTTCAGAAGTAGATCTAATCAACTTGTATCCCTTTCACACTATTCCAAGGAAGAAAGTTAATCAACAGCTGAACACAAGGTGGCAATTTTGTCTTAAAGAACAATTCAAACGAGAAGGTTATATGTCCAAATGTAACCTATTGAAAAAAATTAAAGCCCCTTTTGTCATCTAGGAAACAAAAGTCATAGTGTCATACTAAAAAATTTTAGCATTGTGAAAAAGAAAAAAAAACCTTTTTAGCAAACTTTGAAATTAAAACTTTAAAATCCAAAAGAAAAATGGAAAAATAACACATGAGATAGCATGTCATGAAACAAATACAGAAGGTTAATGAATCAACATGATTTTTAAATGAAAGGATGACTTATCAATGTCTTAACTTGCCAAGGTCAAGCCTACAAAAGTGAAGAATCTCAATCAAAACTGGTTCCTAGAACACTCAATCAATAATTAAACAAACAGCGAAGAACTTGTATAGTAGAACTTAAAATCTTCTAAATGTGTGCATATAGCAAAGTATACATTATATCAAAATAAAATGGAGGAAAATGTAGGAAGAAAACATGTTTTTCTTAAATTCTAGAATTCTGGTAAAAAGGCTAATATAAGATCAAGTTTTAAAAGAAAGCTGCTTGAAAGGTAAAATTACATTGGAGGCAATAGAAACAAGCATTTGATGATTGTGGGTTATTGGTTGAGAGTTTTAGGGAGTAGGTATATAACCAGACCTGCCACTTATGCTCCCAGGCTGCATTTTTTTCCAAGGAGATCAGTAATGGCTCACAGCAGTTAAAAGTTTTACCTGTTGGTGAGTACAAAATTATCCCCAAGAAACTTAGGAATGGTGGTTTAACTAGATTTGATGGCTCATATCATTTGAAGACCATAGAACACTTAAACAAGAGAATCGAACTTACAGAACCTCATACAAGGGAAATAGCTTCTGACCAAAATAGTATTGCAATTATACACGTACAGCTGTATTGCAGTATTCCTATGATGAACCATGTCATCATGCATTCGACTTGATCTCCAGGTTAGTTTAGCAAATTCCTTTTGTTGTAGGCATATAACCTGAAGAAGGGTTATCATGCTACCTGACCCGTTGTAATTGCAAAAAGTGACGAGTTGATGGCAGAGATAGCAAGAAAAACATGGTCCAGTGGATACTAACAATCTCATTGTTGTGACGTTGAAGCCTGTTTCTTTTTTCCGTTATTTACTGTGACATTCTGAATTGTCATAGTTTGTCTGTTTTTTGTTATGAGATAAAATATTAAACTTATCTGTGATTTCGTCTTTTCTGTTATTGACATTTTGATATATGTGCTGCAGAATGACCTGGAAAGGATATGTTTGGTTTATGATGCCTTCTTGTCTGAGTATCCTTTATGCTATGGTTATTGGAATAAGTATGCAAGTAATAGGGCACGACTATGCACTTTACATGAGGTTGAGGAAATCTATGAACGGGCTGTCCAAGCAATACCATATTCTGTTAATCTGTGGGTCAGTTACTGTACATTTGGTGCCTTATCATTTGAAGATCCTGCTGACGTACGGAGGTACTTAATATAAGTTTCTACTTGATAATAACAAAATATGCAATCATATTGCTTTATTCCATATGCCATTTTTTAATATAAAATTCTGGTAACGGTTTCTGGTGCCTTACATCATATTTAGCTAAGTTTAGGGGAAAATTTTTCAAGCAACAGATTTGAAATTAATATAATAAAGCTTGATGAAGTATAACAAGATAAAATTGTGAGGTTATTTATGCGGTAGAAACTTTGATAAAATTGGAACATTGAGTTGATTGTCTGCATGGACGAATGAATAATTTGGCTTAATAGGATTTCATTTCTCAATCGTCATGTAGGATTCTAGAGTTTCATTACTTTAATTGCAGTTAATTGTGGATGCATATGAAGCCTATGATTTTATAGGTCTCCAAACTTTTCTTAAAGTGCTTAAAAGTTATTACTTGCAGACCAGGGTTTTTCATTTGGTCCAGTCTGGTAACCAGAAGAAATCAAGTTTGCCACCGGATTTTACTCATTATTGGGCTTGAACTGAGTGGTTAGCCTAGCTCAGTTCAAAAGGTCTGGTTTGAAATGATCCTTTTTGTAGTTTTGATGGTATGTCTTTATTTGTCTTATCTCTCTCTGTCTCTCTTGATTCTCTCGAGTCCTGGTCTCTCTCTCTCTCTCTCCCCCCCCCCC